TGCATGATGATAAAGCGAGAGGAAGGTGGTAGAAACTTGTTTGCAGGTCCAAGTGCCCTCGCTCATTATGCTCAGAAACCGAATGCATCACCATATGTACCTAGAGAGAAGAAAGGGTACTATTGTGAACATTGCAAACGTGCTGGTCATACTAAGGATCGGTGTTGGATTCTGAATCCGCATTTGAAGCCCTCTCGTTACAAGGAGAACCCAAAACGTGGCATGGCCATGACTGTAGGCCATGAGCAACCTTCTATTGATCCCCCCATGTCGTTCACCACTGATGAATTAAAGGGATTCAAACAGCTTCTCTTAGCCTTGAACAACAAGGAATCTGGTAACAATGCTAAACACTACTCTATTGTTATTGATTCTGGAGCTACTACACATATGTTCTGTGATTCTAATTGGTTTGAAAGCATTAATCATAGTTATGGTAGTGTTTCGGTAGCTGATGGAAAATATGTTCCAATTAAAGGCCATGGCAAACTTACGTTATTTGATCGCGATATCTATGGTCTCTATGTTCCTGATTTTAAAACGAACTTGCTCTCATTACCTAAACTGATTGAAGAAACAGGTTGTCATGTTATTTTTGAAACTGACCGTGTGTTATTCCAGGATACTAAGACGGATCAAATTTTCGGACAAGGCATAAGGAAGGGCAGCCTTTATTATCTTGAAGATTTTCATTCTAGTTTTCTTTCGATTTCCCCGGATGTGTGGCATGCTAGATTAGGTCACCCTCATCACAAAGTTTTGAATTTGCTTATTCCCGAAGCAAAAAACAATGCTCGATTTTGTGAAGCATGTACACTCGGAAAACATTGTCGTTCTATTTTTCCAGTTTCATTAACTACTTATGACAATGTGTTTGATCTGGTTCATTCGGATATATGGACTTCCCCTTGTTTCTCTCATGATAATTATAAGTATTTTATAACGTTTATTGATGAAAAGTCTAAACACACTTGGATTACACTTCTGAAACGCAAAAGTGATGCCCTTGATGCTTTTAAACACTTCTATGCATATGTCTCTAATCAGTTTGCCACAAAGATCAAATGTTTAAGAACAGATAATGGTGGGGAGTATACAAGCAACAACTTTCGTGCCTTTCTTCTACAACATGGCATCATTCAACAAAGATCATGCCCGCACACACCGCAACAAAATGGAGTGGCTGAACGCAAAAATAGACACTTAATGGAAGTGGCTAGAGCGTTGCTGTTTCATCGCAATGTTCCCAAAACGTATTGGAGCAATGCGGTTCAAACAGCTTGTTATCTCATAAACCGCCTACCAACTCAAGTGTTAAGTGACCAATCTCCATTTGAGGTACTCTTTCAACACAAGGACTCACTTGATCATCTACGTATTTTTGGTTGCGTGTGTTTTGTCTACCTAGATGCAGGGCAACGTGACAAACTTGATCAAAGAAGTCTTCGGTGTGTCTTTATTGGGTACCCACCTGATCAGAAAGGGTATACATGTTACCACCCTCCTACAAAACGCATCTACACCTCTCGTGATGTCCGATTCATAGAGGAATTGAGTTACTTTGGTGACAAGAATTGGAATGCTTTGGAGCAACTTGAAACGCAAGGAACAGATTTCAACACTTCTCTACAACGATTACTTACATCCCTGCGGTTGATTAATACTTCTACCCCTTCTACGGAGTCTCCATCTACCTCTGCATCAACAAACACTACTGAGGTTCCCTCTTCCCCTATTGAACAACCTGTTTGTTCTTCTCCTTCCTTTGTTTCTTCTAATGATGCAGGTACATATCTTTTCGAAGACAATGTCCACAACCAACATCAAGAAACCAACATTCAATCAGTGGATGTTACACTTCAGGGGGAACCATTTATTCCTGAAGATCATCTAGATTCGCCATCAAGTGAACCGCCTACTTTACCCGACACAAGTGTTCAAACACTTCGGAGGGGGACAAGAAACCGCAAACCACCATCTGAATGGTGGAAGACATCGCAGAACGCCACAACCAATATTGCTATTGCTTATCCCATAGCACTACACTCATCTTTATCTGATTTTCCTGCTAATGCACAAAGTTTTTTAAGTATTGTTGAGCAGGGTGTTGAACCAACAACATATGAGCAAGCCAAAGACAGCTTAGTTTGGCAACAAGCAATGAGTGAAGAAATACAGGCCCTAGAACGCAATGGTACTTGGGTAATCACTTATCCCCCAAAGGATAAGCATGTTGTAGGTTGCAAATGGGTCTTCAAAATCAAATATCGCAGCAATGGCGAGATTGAAAGACACAAAGCACGTTTAGTAGCAAAAGGCTTCACACAAACATATGGCGAGGATTACACCGACACGTTCGCCCCCGTCGCTAAGTTACCTACAGTTCGTGTGCTCTTATCCTTAGCTATTAACTTGGATTGGCAGTTGTGGCAGATGGATGTGAAAAACGCATTCTTACAAGGAGACCTCGAGGAAGACATTTACATGGCTCCACCTCAAGGTTATACACAATCTTTACAACCTGGTCAGGTTTGCAAACTTAGGAAAGCGATTTATGGGTTGAAACAGTCACC